GTTTTGAGGGTTTAGGGTTTAGGGTTTAGGGTGGGCAGGTTTAGGGCTTGAAGGTTTGGGTTCAGCGGATTTGTTGCCCTTCAGGGCCTGGAAGGGGTGTTGCGTTCCAGTGCTGAGCAGTTTCCCAGGCTCCTGCCCCTAAGCATACAAACAGTCCTTAATGGGGATAATAGTACCCCCCCCCCCTCCCCCGATTCAAATCTCTATGAAGGACTGTTAGTATAAAGGGGAGCATCCTAACCCCTAAGCCCCAGAAGGTCCTTTCAATCTCTCCGCCGCGCGTCTTGCAGGAGCAGTGGCAGCACGTGAGCCGGAGCACTCCGCCCAGAGATGCTGCCGTGGCAGTGGGGGACTGAATCCCGGATTCCGGATCCCCTGTTGGCTTTGAGGATCTCTTGTTGTGCGGACTTTTTATGGGCTTGCATGGGGTTTAGGGTTTAGTTCGGGGCTTTGGGGTTTAGGGGGCCGTTAGGGGTTAGGGTGTAGTTTCGGGTTTTGGCGTTTAGGGTAGCCCTGAACCCTAAACCCTCAACCCTAAACCCTAAACCCGAACCCCTAAACCCTAACCCGTGTAGCGCGCACCCGGGGCCACTGGGCTTGCCTCTCGTGGCAGGTGGCGGAGATGCTCACCAAGCTGCTCGAGGCGCGTGTTGGGTGTCGGATGTAGCTTAGGATTTAGGGTTGGTTTAGGGTTTAGGGTTTAGGGTTTAGGGTTTAGGGTATAGGGTTTAGGGTTTAGGGTTTAGGGTTTGGGGTCTGTTTCGGGAGTCCGACTTCCCTCTGCAAGATCCTTTGTCGACCCTTTTTGCCGCATCCCCCCCCTAACTCAGCCTCATAGACCTAAACCCTGAACCCAAACCTAACAACCTAAACCATGAGCCCTAAACCCTATAAACCCTAGACCTCACTCACCCTAGCTTTGGCGCAGGTGAAAGGGCGAACGTCTGCGCTTCTTGGGCTGCGTTTTGAGTCTCGGGGGGTAGACTTCGGGCTTTGTGGCCCGAAATCTAGTGTTGCTTAGGATTGAAGGGTTCAGGGTTTAGGGTTTTAATGTTAAGGGTAACATCCACAAGCAGCTGAGGCCCTAACCCACCCCACCCCCCCCCCCCCCCCGAAGCCCTAAACCTCTTCAGGGTCCAGGGACTGGGGTTTAGACCCTTAAGACCCATCGGCTCTCCCCCAAAACCGGGGTAGGGCAGAGGGCTGATGCCTTTTTGTCCTGGACCAAATCTTGAGGACTCATCGAGAATGGCGGGCCCGGTACGTACACAAAGCTGCAACGATGCATTCCATGGGACACTCCGAAAGATCCCAGACGTTAGATTTTTTGGGGCATGTCATCTTTAAACCCTAAACCCTAAACCCTAAACCCTAAACCCTAAACCCTAAACCCTAAACCCTTTAGCTTCATTTTCTTGCCAAGCCAGGATGGCCTCCACCCTTGAGATAGACTCTGTGGCCTTGAGCTCAGCAACGGCACGCGGAACCTTTCAAGCGGGCGCGGGTTTAGGGTTTAGGGGTTTAGGGGTTATTATCGGGGTTAGGGGTTTAGGGTTTGGGGATTTAGGTTTAGGGGTTCAGGGATTAGGTTTAGGGCTTAGCGTTTTTTGGGGTTATAGGAGTTTAGGGGTCTTAGGGTTTTTTTTTGTGGGGGGGGGGGGGGGGGGGCGTTTACGGCAGAGGCCCTAGACTTATCCCGGCCCTCTACTGAGGCCAGCGATCTCATCAGCTGGGCCGACTCATCCTCCTTTGCATCCGCCGCCATTGCTGGAAGGATGAGGCTGCTTTAGCTCCCTAGGGTGTTTGTGCTTTGGGTTTTCTTGGGGGCCCTACAACCTAAACCCTAAAACATAAACCCTAAACCCTAAACCCTAAACCCTAAACCTTAAGGGTGCTATTTCGTGGCTCCGTACTACACATGGGTGTACTTTTTTTGTAGCGAAGAAGGACATGAATGTTGATACCCGCGCTTCGGATGCGTGATACAGAGCTTGGCATTGGGCTAGTTGGGCGCAAAGCCCAAAAAGCCTAAACCCGGCAACCAACCCTGAAGCACAAAAAGCCCCAAAACTCTTGAAAAGCTCCAAGGCAATCCAAGTCCCTGAGCGCTGAAGCTGTATTAGTCCTTCCAAGCTCTTCAAGCCGCGAAACAAGCTAATCCCCTCCCAAAACATGATACCCTTTGTCATGGCCCCAAACCCTAAACCCTAAACCCTTAACCCTTATGAACCCTAAACCCTAAACCGTTCAAGGAGCTGGAAGTGTGCGGTGCTCCTGCTGGCCGTGGTCGTCATCGCCCGTGCCCCGGGGAATGTTTCGGATCTCATGGGGCACGCGTGCTTGTTTAGGGTTTAGGGTTGTGGGCTTAAAGCTGCACACCCCAAAGAAGCCTTCCCCCTTTGGGGTCAACCCATGGAACCCAGGGGGGGGGGTGGGTTGTGGAGAATATCGCCTCAGGGTTTAGGGGTTTAGGGGTTTAGGGGTTTAGGGGTTTAGGGGTTTAGGGGTTTAGGGGTTTAGGGGTTTAGGGGTTTAGGGCTGTTTTCGGCCTCGGATTCGTGCTATGAGGTCGGACTGGCTCGGCATCTCAATTCTGTTGCCACTTCAACCCTAGAAAGCCTTTAGAGCTCCAACCCCAGAAGCTTCAAAAAGGCTAAGCTCCATACTCTGCACTTGAGCCCTGCCAAGGGGCTGCTGGTGGCCGGAGGGTACTACTACTACGTGACCTACTTGCAGTCGGCGAAGACCGGGGCAGGGCCGGAGGCGCTCCTGCTTCCGGAGCTGGCGCGGCGTGTGGTGCTCGCGTGAGCACCCGCCATGTAGTCGAACACGTAGCTCGGCCTCCGTAGACGAAAGTTACACTGGAAAAGAGCAACATCAGTACGCATTTTGTTGGTTGTTTACATTGTGGATGTTTTTTGCAGGCTCGATACTGAGGTAAGGCAGCCGCAGGCGTCACTTGGCTACTTCTGCCCTCCATGTCCTCTAGGCACCCGACACTTTGTTCAGAGCCAAGAGTAGAGCCCTCCAATGCCTGAAGGTTCCTCCCCCAAGGCCCCCCTTCAATGCCAGGGGTTTAGGGTTTAGGGTTTAGGGTTTAGGGTTTAGGGCCCTTCAATGCCAGAAGTCACTGGACCCCCCACCCGGCACCGGCCCGCGTCGCAAAGCGTCTCAGCGATCGATTGTCCCTCCGCCGCCTTGTGCCGCGCGGCTGAGACAAAAAGGGCACAGTGACCGCTTGAGATTGCATCCTAGGTCCCTTTACAGGTTGGCTTGTAATTCGGGTTCAGGGTTTCGGGCTTTGTAGGGTCTAGGGTAAAAATGGGAACCTTAGTAGCTGAATGAGTACACTTTACACTTTTTCGGATGCTATAATCCCCTGTAGAACTGAAAGTGTACACGTTCAGGGGGTTTATGAACTCTGCAACTATGGAAATGCAGCCTGAGCTGCCCGTTGCTTGATGCATCTTCCCTTCCCAACGTTAACCCGCCTAGTAAAGTCCGGTCCCCAATGGGCTCTCCGGGAGCATGTGTTCCTGCCCAATTTGCTGCGGACATGGCAAGAATTAACCTTGTAAACGTCTAACCAACCCAAAATAGGGTGCCCTTATGATAAGATGTTACAGGGGCCACGAAAAGTATTTAAAGGGAGGGGGTTGAATCAGAGCCTCGACCGACAGAGGGGATTCAAGCCTGTGTCTGTGTCTGCAATTTTCTTTAAAAGGCCTCCAAAAAATCAGCACACACCAAAAAACAGAACATATTGTTCTTTGTAAGGAGGATATAGGGATGATTTATTTTGTACTCTATATATATATATATATATATATTGTTTTTTTGGTTTTTGTTTATTTCTTTGTTTATGTGTTGTGGGTGTGTTCTTAAGCAAATGGTAGCTCTAGAGTTTTTTGGGCAATTCTGTCCTTGGACCAGATGGCGGTTTCAGGAAGCATCGCATGTGTTTGCACATTGGGATCGGACGTTCTCCCTTATACTAAAAACAGTCCTTAATGGGGATTATAGTCTTTATACCCTATTATAATCCCGATTAAGGACTCTTAGTATATGGGGGGACATCCCCAGATGCACGGGCAAAAGTCTCGGAGGTCCGAAGGGCAGTAAGGTGCAGCTTTTTGTCGGAGAGTTGTGGGGGGCGTTTGGGGTTAGAATGTACACCCCTAAACCCCGAACCCTAAAAGCAAAAACAGCAAACCCCAAGCCCCAAACCCTACACCCAAAACCCTTGGACACTAAGCCCTAGGATATGGCTAAGGTCTAAGGACGGGCTGCAAGTTTCAGACTTCAGTGCTGAGGGTCTGGTGGCTTGTCGTTCTTGGTATTTTAACGTTGATTAGGGTTTAGGGCAGGGTTTAGGGGTTGTAAGGTTTCAGGGTGTTAGGGTTTAGGGTTTAGGGGTTTAGGGGTTTAGGGGTTTAGGGGTTTAGGGGTTTAGGGGTTTAGGGGTTTAGGGGTTTAGGGGTTTAGGGGTTTAGGGGTTTAGGGGTTTAGGGGTTTAGGGGTTTAGGGGTTTAGGGGTTTAGGGGTTAGGGGTTTAGGGGTTTTTTAGGGGTTTAGGGGTTTAGGGGTTTAGGGGTTTATGGGTTTAGGGGTTTAGGGGTTTAGGGGTTTAGGGGTTTAGGGGTTTAGGGGTTTAGGGGTTTAGGGGTTTAGGGGTTTAGGGGTTTAGGGGTTTAGGGGTTTAGGGGTTTAGGGGTTTAGGGGTTTAGGGTTAGTGGCGGTCACGTTGCTTCATGACTCTGAAATCCTATACATCCCGAGATGACCCTATGGAACTACCATACTAAGCCCTGAAACCCAAATATACAGTTGCATGCACTCGGTTACGCAATAAAGATACATCCTACACCCTAAACCCAAAACTCTAAACCCTAAACCCTGAACCCTGAACCCTAAACCCTAAACGCTAAACCCTAAACCCTAAACCCTAAACCCTAAACCCTAAACCCTAAACCCTAAACCCAACACAGCACGGTACGAAGGTTCTGTGGGGCCTCGGCGAAGTGCGCTGCCAAGGTAGCGCTTCTAGAGAGACCAGGACCCGAGCTTTTTTGGGGACTAAAGGCCCTAAACCCTAAACCCTAAACACTAAACCCTAAACCCTGGCTGCCCTTATAGCCCTCTTTAAACCAAAAAAGGGCACCCTCTTTATTCCTAGTTTACACCTGGGTCTAGGAGAGAGTCTGGCCAGCTGACATCTGCGGGGTTTAGGGTTTGTAGGGTGTAGTGCTTGGTAGCCCAGTTGTACCCTTTTCCACTCTTGTTGGCTCAAGTTTCCATGGTGAAGTAAGCAAACCAAAAAAGGGCACCCTTATGCGAACATTATATGGTTACTGGGCTACCAAGAGTGTAAATCTGAACAACCCAACAGTCGTTGCGCCGTGCCCCCCTTGCCCGCGGAGTCTCCTTTCGAAAGCGAGGAAAACGACGGGGGCAATCAGGTTTTGCAGGTCCAGCACAAACCCCAAAACCCCAAAGCCGACCTACTGGTTGTATGTACCAACCCTAATCCCTAAACCCTAAACCCTAATTAAACCCTAAACCCTAAACCCTGAACCCCCAAGCCGGTTGCACGAAGCACCCCAAGCGCGGTTCGAGGCACACAACCCCCCCCCCCCCCCCCTCCCGGCCAGGTTCTCCTGGGGACGTCCATTCCGCTCGCAGTGGCTCCGACATACTTGCGCCCGGTTTAGGGTGAGTTCCCTTAATGAGGGTCCCTTAAGTTGGAGGTCCTAAGTTTAGGGTTTAGGGTTTAGGGTTCAGGGTTCAGGGGGCACTTGGTGGGAGTAGACGCAGACTACGCATCCTGTATTTGACCCGAGGGTCGAACTGCCTATCACCAGGGTGCCCCACTCAGTATTGAGATGATAGCGGGCGTTGTAGGGTTTAGGGTTTAGGGTTTAGGGTGGAGCAGATAGTTAGATCAACTACTAAGTTGGTTGGAAGCCCGTCGACAAGCCCTCTGCTGCTACATTGTCCAAAGGAAACCAGGGCGGCATCGCAAGATGCTAGCTGCGCTAGCTCGGTGGCATGCTGCCGCAGGGCCGGTAGACCTCGGCACCCAAACGCACTAAGTTTGTGATTTGTTTGAACGTGTTGGCTGTTTTGAAAAGAATCCCTGAACACCTCAGCCCCTATAGCCACCTAAGCATCGAAGGCTTCTCGGAGCCCCCTCATCTCTGCATCCCTCAACGAAGAGTCTTAGAGTTCAAGGTTTGCAGGGTTCAGGGCTGCAACTTCTCAACCGGCCAAACAAGTTAAGCCCGCAAGAACGGCCAGATCCTGTTCATTGGGCACACCCTCTTGGGCTCGCATGGGGGCGGACTGCAACCGGGCATCACGGCGTGCGCCGCCGCACGCAGGAGGGTGAGGTTGGTGAGTTCGTGGTGTTACAAAGGCACGATTCTTGGCTGGTAACGAAGGGGTCGAGGAAACCCTAAAATCCTAGCTCGTGCAGAAGTATGGGGCCTCCAAGCCCTAAGCCCTAGGGCCCTCTCTTTGCTTAGGCCCGGTCTGCTTTCGAAGGACGGCACGCCTGCCGCCAAAAAGCACAATTTCCAGAAAAAAGTCCCCAAAGTCTCGGGTTTAGGGTTTGGGGTTTCGGGTTTAGGGCTTAGAGCTCTGGCTTCGGGGATCTTGGAGGCAACAGGGTTTTGGGTTCTAGGGTTCAGGGCAATAGTTCTTCTCATGGCAACTCCATGGATGTTGGAACCAAGAGACTCTAGAGCCATCATAAATGACACCGCGCGCCTTTTCGTGGTTGATGATTGCATGTGCACCGAAACCCTAACCTTATAATCCTGAAACCCCAAACCCTAAACCGAACCCAAAACCCTAAACCCTAAACCCTAAACCCTAAACCCTAAACCCTAAACCCTAAACCCTAAACCCTAAACCCTAAACCCTAAACCCTAAACCCTAGCCCTAAACCCTAAACCCTAAACCCTAAACCCTAAACCCTAAACCCTAAACCCTAAACCCTAAACACTCTAATGCAAGGCGGACAAAAGGCTCCTCATAGGGTGCGCGCGTCGTGGCAGGTACATGGGAATCATGTGCCTCATGGAGTCTTACAGGATCTACCAGCCGCCATGGCGTGACTTAAAGTGAGGTCTAGGGTTTAGGGTTAAGGGTTTAGGGCTTAGGGTGAGGGTTTAGGGGTTTAGGGTTTAGGATGTTAGGGTTGTAGGGTTTTGGGGTTTAGGGTTTCAGGGTTTAGGGCTTAGTCTCCATATCGACATGAGACTTGAAGAACACAAGTGGACCAAACCCTGTTGAGGTAGTAAACCCTTTATCGCCCCAATCAAAGGTCAAATCTGCAGCTCCCCAACAGATTCAAGTAGGACCGGGGAGTCGCAAGCACAGTCCAAAGCCAGGCTTATCGGGTTCTTAAAGGAGGTGGTTCATAGGGGGTAGGTACCTAGGGAAGCTTAGGGAGCCTTAGGGAGTAGTGGGGATTGTTAGTGAACCTTGGGTTACTTACCCCCCTTGAACCCGCTTAAGAAGTCCAAAGCCAGGCTCTACCAGGAGGAGCGCCTTCACACGCACCCCCTCTTCGAGCAGCTGGGCGTTGGCAGTTTGAAGGGGCAGTTCCCTAAACTTTAAGGCCCTAAACCCTAAACCCAAAGCCCCTAAACCCTAAACCCTAAAACCTAAACTTTCAAGATTCTTTCAAGATTTGCGGGCCGGGCTTGAAAGAACAGGTTGACAGGGCTTGGGGCTCTGGAATAGGGACATTTCTTGGCACAAGTCGGCGAGAGGTATCTGGGACAAATGCACAAACGAGGTGTGGTTACCTTGTGCCTTCTACATGCCTGATTGCATGTGGGCAGCCTTGCATGCTCTTGGCCCTGAATCCTCTTCCCGACATTCAGGGTGTTTTGGGTTTAGAGGTTCGAGACAATATTTCGGGGGATTTTGGGGTTTGCTGGGTCTTTGGGGCTTTTTTTTTGCGTAAGGGGTATAGAGGTGCTCGATTTTTGGAGGTTCAGGGGCTGGAGTTTGGGGAGAAGTTTCGGGTCTTTCTGGTTTGGGCCCTGAACCCCAAAGCCTAAACCCTAAACACCCCCTAAAGACCTAAGCCCTAAACCTTAACCCTTAAAACCCTAAACCCTTAAAACCCTTAACCCTTAAAACCCTAAACCCTAATCCCTAAATCGGGGGCCGAGGCTCGCACGCTCCGACACGGTGCGCATGGTGGACAGCAGCGGTCCAGCAGCCAGGCTCGGGCACGCGACTAGGGTTTGGGACTTAGGGTTTAGGGTTTAGGGTTTCGGGTATAGGGTAGAGGGTTTAAGGCAAGGTATAGGTGGTACAGGGTTTAGGTGTGTTTAGGGTTTAGGTCTTTGGGGTTTGAGGGTTTAGGCCTTAGGTCTTAGGGGGTGTTTAGGGTTTAAGGTTTAGGTCTTAGTGGGTGTTTGGGGTTTAGGGTTAGGTCTCAGGGGTTTGGAATCTGCTTTGGGGCACATCGTTTTTTGGTTTGTTGAAGGCTGTAAGAGTTTAAAGTTTGAGTCGGGCCTTGTCAGGGCGTTTCTTGGCGGGGGGTTAGGCTTGATGGTGGCTTCTCTCAGCTGTCAGGGTTTAGGGTTTAGGGTTTAGGGTTTAGGGTTTAGGGTTTAGGGTTTAGGGTTTAGGGTTTAGGGTTTAGGGTTTAGGGTTTAGGGTTAGACTTTTTTAAACGGCCCGGGAACATTGATAGTTGGGGGAAGGATTTGTCTTTCAATCAAGCCCAAGCCTTGCGTGCAAAACCGCAAATCCTAAACCCCCAATGACGTACGTCCAGTCCCTATATCCCCCCACCTGGACCTAAACCCCAAGCCCTAAGCCCTAAGCCCTAAGCCCTAAGCCCTAAGCCCTACACCCTAACCCTAAACCCTAAACCTTAAACCCTAAACCCTAAACCCTAAACCCTAAACCCTAAACCCTAAACCCTAAACCCAAACCTCAGCAGAATATCTCGCAGCAGGTTGAACAACTCGGATCGCGACGACCCGGAGGCTCCACGCAATCCGCAGGCCAGGGTACAGGTGGAAGGATTGAGGGGTTTAGGGTTTAGGGTTCAGGGTTTAGGGTTTAGGGTTTAGGATAAGGTGACCCTATGCCTATACCCTGAAGAATCTACCTTAAGAGCCCCAAAACCTACGTGTTTGTAGGTTCTTATTCTAAACACTCCTTAGATGACTCTTAGGTAACCTACAAAATGCTGGCTTGTGAGGCCTCTTGCGCTTAGAAAAACACGTCTCATCATCCTAGGCACCTTCACCTTCAAAGTGCCCCCCCCCCCCCCCCCGCCCCATATCAGGGTTTAGGGTTTGGGGTTTAGGGTTTAGGGTTAGGGTTTAGGGTTTAGGGTTTAGGGTTTAGGGTTTAGGGTTTAGGGTTTAGGGTTTAGGGTTTAGGGTTTAGGGTTTAGGGTTTAGGGTTGGTTTAGGGTTTGTAGGGTGTGGGGTTTAAGATTCAACTGAGATTCCTTTCAAGAGGGTCCCCAGATCGCACCTCCAGCAGTAATTGAGGCTCAACCCTAAACCCTAAACCCTAAACCCTAAACCCTAAACCCTAAACCCAAGTATTTCGCGGTTGAGGGCTATCTGAGTTGTACGAGGTGCAATTCTCCGAGCTCAGGGCCTTTGCTGGAGAGGGCCGCTCCCTGAACTACGAGGCAGGGTCTTACTGTAGGTTTTAGGGGCCTTTGGGCCAGAGGGGTCTGCCCTAAACCCGAAACCCTAACCCCTAACCCCCAAACCCTAAACCCTAAACCCCAAACCCTAAACCCTAAACCCTAAACCCTAAACCCTAAACCCTAAACCCTAAACCCTAAACCGCAGGGTTTCGGAGGTCGGCCCTGTACGGCTGCCCCCCCCCCCCCCCCCAACAACACTGGGAGTCCATATAATATCCATCCCTTGCTTGATTTTTGTGTTTCGGAGTTTCGGGGTTTGCAAGTTTAGGGCTTATATAATGAGGGTTTAGGGTTTAGGGTTTACGGTTTAGGGTGTAGGGTTTAGGGTTTCGGGTTTAGGGTTTAGGGATGCCATACAACAAAGGGTCGGCGGTGTCTCGGGGACACAGGGGAAGTGCAGGACATGGCCCAATACCCTCTTGTACACCCTATGTTTAAGAGCCCCAAAGACCTTTTTTGGGGGGTAGGATATACTACTGCGCAACTCCTTGGTGGGATTCTTCAGCACGCTACTTGTTTTGAAGGTTTTGGTTTTACACGATACATTCCCTTGTGGGACTCTGATGAAAACCCACTTTTATCCTAGGTTTTTATGGGTTCTTAAGGCTTGCCCTTCTGAGCCCTGGTCAGTCGGAGGCTCTTTCGCAGGAAGAGGTCTTCCTTTTTGAGGCGACCAGTCCTACCCCGTGCGGTTCCGCGCTCCAGCGATCTCTCGAAACGTTGCTGCTGCTGGCAAAAGCCTAATTACACCCAACCCTAAACCCCAAAACCCTAAACCTTGAACCCTAAACCCTAAGCCCTAAACCCTAAACCCTAAACCCTAAACCCTAAACCCTAAACGGACAACCCTTCATTCCCCAGCCCCCAAGATCAGGCCCAGCCCGACAGCCAGTGTGGCCCTGAGCTTTTCGGGACGGAAAGCACGCCTCGGGGGGTTTGAAATGCGTCGAAAGGTGTACCCTAAATCCTAACCCTAAGTCCATGAACCCGAAGCCCTCAATCCTAAACCCGATAAGCCCTAAAGCCTAGACCCTAAACCCTAAAGCCATAAATGCCCTAAATCCTAAACTGCCGGTGGGAAGACGGAGGTTCCCCATGCTAAGGAGGTTTCTATAAAGCTGAGTCTAGGACCCGGAGTAGGCCCTTGTTTCCCTTTTTTGGGGGTGGGAATCCCCTTGTAGCCTCCTTAAAACCAAAAAGGGTACCCTTGTTATTCCTAGGTTACTCCTGGGTCTAGGAGAAGTCAGTAGACCCTACGCTTCTTGCTCCAGGCTATGCGCTTCCCTTGAATTGTGGGCCCACCAAACCCCAACAAGCCGCAAGACCCCCTAAAACCCTCAACTACTAGACACCTGAAGCCCTAGAACCCTAAACCTCAACCCGAAACCACGCAAACCTCTCAATCCCCATGCATCCCCACGACGGAAGCTGTCCGAGAGTGCTGCGAAGAGTTCGGCAGAAACTAGTGCGGACTGACATAAACCAGCCACCCTTGGTTGAATCAGCAGTGAGATCGGGAGAAGTCTTTTCCGACTTCTCTTGCGGCACGCTCGGCAATTCCTCCAAGGTTGCAAAGGTTTACGAATACTCACCAAAAACCACCAAGCTGACCAAGGGCATGTCATATGCGCCCAAGAATCAGGCATGCGGTGATGTTGTGCAAGTCCTCGGTTTAGGGTTTCGGGTTTAGGGTATTTAGGGTTTAGGGTTTAGGGTTTAGGGCATATTCTGGTGGAGGCTCTGTACAATGGGCGAATCTGTCAACTCAAGGCCATACTCCAAGAAGAGCCACCGATCCCGACATGGAACCGTAACAGCCCGTTGTTTAAAGAGGGGGCTCTTATTAAACCCCGCCCTGCGCTGAAACCACTAGCAACGACATCAGTTCGACCCCTGAAATCCTAGGTAAAGCAAGCAAAGTCCAAAATTCCAAAATTCCTAATCCAAGATCCTTGTCAACTCTCGCAGCATTTCCCACCCTTCACAACCAGAACACGCTTAAACACCCTCAACCCTATAATGCCAAACCCTTAGGCACACTTAAGTCCTAATACTGGGTTCTAAACCTTGAAAACCCTCAAACCCTATACACTGCCTATACACCATATAAACCCCAAACCCGAAACCCCTGTATCCTATAAGCCCTAAACCCTAAAACCTGAACCCTATAATCCCTAATTAAACCCTACGTAAACCAGTAAACCCAAACCCCTCTAAACCCTAAACCCAATAAACCCTAGCCCTAAACCCTAAACCCTAAACCCTGAACCCTAAACCCTAAACCCTAAACCCTAAACCCTAGCCCTAAACCCTAAAAACCCTAAACTCCTTGGAGCCCTTCGAGCCTCGAGGCCTCAGACCCTGGGCGCTGGTCCGGGCGGCCGAGCCGCCTGGCCACCGGGCCGCAGCACGGTGTTTCAGGGTGGGTATAGGGTTTAGGGTTTAGGGTTTCGGGTTTAGGGCTAGGGTTTAGGGTTTAGGGTTTAGTGTTTAGGGGTTTTGGGGTTTAGGGGTTTTGGGGTTTTTGGGTTTAGGGGTTTAGGAGTTTTGGGGGTTTTGGGGTTTGGGGGTTTTGGGGGTTTCGGGGATTAGCGTTTAGGTTTAGGGTTTCAGGGCCTGGGGTGGTTAGACGGGTATCTACATGTCGGGTATTCAGGGTAGCCGCGGGGAGTTAGGGCGTCTCTAGAGATCGGGTGCTTTTAGGGTGTGTCTGAGGTGTTAACCCCCCGCACGGTTGGGGCGTCGTCCTTTTGGGGGGTTGCCCCCAAACCCTAAACCCTACACCCTAAACCCTAAACCCTAAACCCTAAACCCTAAACCCTAAACCCTAAACCCTAAACCCTAAACCCTAAACCCTAAACCCTAAACCCTACATACTTGGAGTTCTGGACGAGTGTTTTGGGGGGCCGGATGTGGTCAAGAATTATGGTCAGGCGGTTGCCTTGGGATTCCAATCCCAAAGGATCCATGTACCTATATAGTATATACTTGGGCCCTAAAGCTACTATATAGGAACCCCTTTAAGGCCTAAGTATATACTATATAGGTATATGGATCCTTAGGGAATCAGCTAAGAGGGTTGAGGGTTCAGGGCAGGCTGAAGTATCTCCTTTACCGGCCAGTTGTTTGGTTTTACCACCGGGTCGGTTCCCTAAACCCTAAACCCTAAACCCTAAACCCTAAACCCTACACCCTACACCCTACACCCTACACCCTAAACAGAAGTGCCCAGGTTGAAACGCTTGGAGCAGGAGGGCGCCAACCGTGGCAAGACCGTCCGCGAACTGGAGGAAACCGCGGGATTCTAGAGCTTGGTTCGGGGTTTAGGGTTTAGGGTTTAGGGTTTAGGGTTTAGGGTATAGGGTTTATAAGCGACAGACAGCGACCTCAACCCTCAATTGTAAATCGACACGTTTCTCTTCAATCTTGAAGGTTCGATGTGAATAATAAGTCAAATATTATTCGTAAACATCTACAGTTTCTGGGTTCGACAGTTGAAGATTCATGCTTCAATGTTACATTCGAGAATGTGTAAGTGACTGTTTCGAACTCGCTTGCAACTTCTCTTACCATCCAAAGAAGCGCCGCGAACGCGTGCGACTTCGTTGAATGCACGGCTGATTATGCACTGGTTGTCAAGATTATGGTCCCTTGTTGGATCCCTATCATAACACGGCACCTATTATTCAGGGTTCCCCAAAAGGGATCAGAATTTTGACAACCCCCATACACATACCTTGTCCTTTCTCAAATATACAACAGACTCACAAGAGGTTTTATAGTGTTCACATGGTTCATAGGGTTTGTTGGGTTTATTGGGTTTATAGGGTCTTTAGGGTTCAGATTGTTTCGGGCCTGCGCCTTTTTGGTGGGTGCTTCTGGTTACCGATTTGGGGCTGCTTTGATCTTGAAGTGGCTGATGACTGTTTCCAAGCACACGCACCCACCCTACAGCCCTCAACCCCAAAACCCTAAACCCTAACAGCCCCCAAATCCTTTACCCCGGAAAGGCGGCCCAAATCCGAAACCCTGGGGTTTGATAGGGCTAGAGGACCAAGGTTTTGCAGTAAAGCCCCTGAAGCCCTGAAATCACCAGAATCCCGGATCCCTAAACCCTAAACCCTAAACCCTAAGCCCTTGAAAACCCTAAACCCCAAAAACCCTAAACACTTGAAAACCCTAAACCCCAATCCCTAAACCCTTCCAAGTTGCCACCCGGATGAACTCTCGGCCTTCCGGTGCAGGAGGAGCGCCTGAGCGCCAAGAGGTGAGGAGCTTCGCGCGCTCCTGAGAACATGGACACAAAAATCCCAATTGCCTTTAGGGTTTAGGGTTGAGGGTTAAGGGTTCAGGGTTTAGGGGTTAGGGTGCAAAGCCCCAAAGCCCCAAAGCCCTTAAGCCTACAAACCCTACAGAACCTAGAAACCTCTTGAAACCTGAACTCCTTAAAACAAAAATCCTCAACCCCCTAAATACCTCCAAACAATCGAGCACTACGTCCATATCAGCGCGCTGCTTTGCCTGCCACGGCAGCCGAACACAAGTGTTGTCTGCCATGGTGTCGTGCCGGAGCTCTTTGAAGAAGTTGAGTTTTTTTGGGGGGTGGTTTATGGTTTTGGTCTAGGGACTAGGGCTTAGGGTTTAGGGTTTTGGGTTTTGGAGCTACGAGGACCCAGAGTAGGCCGTTATTCCGCTTGTTTTAGGGGTGGATCTTGGTTCCCTTGTAAAGTACCTTTAAACCAACAAGGGTGGCCTTTGGGCCGAGACTTGAGGTTTTGAGTGTGTAGGGCTAGGGGATTTAGGGCTTAGGGTTTAGGGTTTAGGGTTTAGGGTTTTTTCTGGTTTAGGGGCTTAGGGTTTGGGTCGTCTTGTATAGTAAGAGCTCGCAAAGAGACTGCCATAGCCATAGCAGTTTGCCCAGCAGTACGCAGTCTAGTTGTTCAAACTCCGTGTAACCCCCTGCGAGTTTCTCTAGGGGCAATTCAGATCCTAGACCCCCAGATAGCCAGCAGAGGCTACCGGGATCATCTCACCCCAAACCCTAGAAACCCTAGAAACCCATATTATGTAACCCTACAACCCCTAAACTCTAAACCCTAAACTCTAAACCCTAAACCCCAAACCCGAAACCCTAAACCCCAAACCCTAACCCCTAAACCCTAAACCCTACACCCTTCCAAGAGGAGCCTAATTAGGTTGTGTGATAGGGCTTTTCTCTGGCTGGGTTCAGGAGGAATCTTCTCTACAGGAATGTTGATGTATTTAGGGTTTAGGGTTTTAGGGTTTAGGGTTAGGCTATACACCTTAAATTCTAGGGCCAAAGTCCAGGAGAAAGTGCTTCCGGCTCGCATTGCGTTAGCTACCCATAGTGCAGTGTGGAGCGCGGGCTTGTGTCATTTCGTACATAGCTTAGGGATACAAATAGACAGTTATGTGAGCAGTCACTACTGAATGTTTCAACATATGATTATGTACAGTAGAGTATCGAATATATTCATAAATTTATTATATATATATATATATAAATTAGTATGTATATATATATATATATACATGTAGGCATCGAAGTGCATCTATATAGGTATAGATCTTTCTCTCTCGGCTCATGAAGGGTTCAAAGGTGCTGACACTGCGCTCTTTCATTCAGTCGATCAGGGGTCCAGCGAAGCTGCCCTGGGAGTTTAAAATGACATCGTCTGTCATGCTCTTGCCGGCGCAGCACTACGAACGCACAGAGAGATGTTGCGGCTGAAGCGAAAAAAGAAAGGTCGAGTGCACAGCTGGCGAGCCTCCTTTTGAACGTTAACGCGTCAGCCGGAGCATAATCTGAAGATTGAGCTCTCTGGATGCGCGAGCAACATGCTGAGCCAGTCGGCAGGCCCAGGAGACAATGTCAACCATGGGCTGCACGATTCAGGTGAGGCAGCCCGGCAAGCAGGAAGGTCGTACACCGCGAACCCCTTCGGTCTGTCAACGTCAGCACGCGCTCTCGCAGAGCCTCCAAACTGAAGGAGCGATGCCGGATGTGGTGAAAGCCAACGCGAGTGGCAACCCAATCCGCGTCGGCTGCCCTCGCCCCTCCTGCTGCGTCGACGGAGTGCCTTGGATGAAGTCTCTGTCAACGCTTCCGCCGGGTTCCTGCTGTCATTGCTCCAATATCTGCTGTGGCCAGCGCGAATGCCCGACGCACGGCGGCGAAACTTATGAACCCGACGTGAGAACGTTCGTCTCATGCGCACGTTACCATTTGACAAGACGCAAGCCGAACATTTGTTCACGGCTTGGCAAGTATGAGATCTGCAAAGACAGTTTGATCCTGCCGTTCCTCGCAGACTCCAACCTGTCCGTCACAACACCCCTCTTGGCACAGGTCCACCTTCAGGGAGCACATGACCCGCAAAGTATAGGATTCTGTCCTCAAAACGCTCCCTAGGGGCGTATGGAACATCAACCGCCGCGCCGGATTCAAGATTCATCACAAAACCCCCTTTAGTTTCGGCCATGCATTGGGGAGCATGCCGAGGGGGCAGCTGTGAAAATGGTGCGGCAGCTGGGGGCCCTAAGACCGCCTTAGCTTGGGACCTAAAGGAGTGTAGAAGAATCGAAAGGTGACAATTAATAAATCACTTAAGCCCTCCAGTATACCCAAAGGCTCCTATGTAGTTCCTTTTTGGGTTAGTGATAGGGGATTCTAGTATACTACCCCAAAAAGGTACTACATAGGAGCCTCTGGGTAAGCTGGAAAAGAGCTGTTGCCACGAAGGGGCGTACGCACGCTGAGTAGACGAAGGTATACCTGGGCACGTAATTGTCGCAGCACTTGCTCAACACAATGCGGGCCGCGATCGAGGTCGCGACCGGGACAGGTTGTAGACTTGTGCAGGGGGCGTGTTGGACAAATCCTGGTTGGTGCCAACGCGAGGTCCAAAGCAGTACCAGCGCGATGCTTCGGGGCACTTCCAGGGCTGCGTGCAACAAGGTCCAAAATTCCAGCACACGAGCGATCTGCCGACCTGGCCACGCTTTGCAAAGTGAAGCACCACACGGGTACCACCGCATCAACGTTCGATTCAGAAACCTTTTGTTTGGCCGACTGATTGCGGGGCTGTTGGACAACGTTGGATGCACTGGGCCGCCTGGGCGCGCGAGTTCAACGCGTAGTCAGGGCGGACTTTGCACATGGCTGCAGGTCCGTGCGAGTGCGAGGGGTATGGTTCCAACTGTGGTCATGTCGACGACACAAGCCTGTTTATGGATTCGAGCCAGGGCGCGCTGACTCCTTCCTTGCATCGAGTTTTTGGAAAATGGGAGAGCGTGTGGTCGGAAGTGTTTTCGAGTCGGATGCGAGGTGCCGAGCGCAGAAAGTATACCATGATGTCTGCCTGGGTCGGAGACGTCGACAGCCAGAAGCTTTCGTAGCCTTGGGCGAGGCAGCTGCTACTCTCGGGGCGCACCGCGCAACTTCCGCAGGGGAAGACCCAAGCCCGCATGGCCAGCGCAACTTTACCATGAGTCAAGTCAAGTCAGGTCAAGCCGACGGCCGGTGGTCTGTTCAGGTCAAATGTGCAGAACTCCATAAATTGTATGGAGTGTGAGAATGCTTCAATGCAGCATGGAAAAATTAGGTCCGCCAACAGACCTGTGGCGTGACCGGCTTTGCGCGGAGTGTTGGTGGAGCTTAATTTCCGCCTCTTGCAACACAAGATGCTCACATACTTCTCCCTGCCAGATCAACGAATCAGTTGATTGGCCTTGAGTGCCCATGCATCTCAAACCTGCGGCTTCGACCTGTGTTGTCCTGCCTGACGTGTCGACATCGGCATGACTGATTACCCTGACTACCCAGGGCGCAATCAGTTGGTGATGCAATGTGCGCACGAATAAATTTCGATTCATACGGTGTGAGTAGACCTCGTCCGCATCCTGTATCTCTGCGCGTGCTATTCGCATGCAAAGTGCCTCGAACACCTTCGACCCATGCACTCAAAATTGCGAAACGCCAAGCAAGCAAATGCTGGATTCTTTTGTGCGCGCATGAGGGCCTTTTGCCACGCAAATGCCGACCGTTCGCCGATCGAAACCTTTGGGGATGAGCTATGTCGTTATGCTCGCACTCAGCAACACGCAGTTCTGTTTCTGCTCGGCACTGCACAAATCCTGTTTCCTCGTTCGTTGCGCACGTGCGGCTTGCGGGGCATATAGCTATAATGTACTAGCACCCCGTCCGTTGCAAGCACTTTCGCACGTGCATGTCGACAGATCGACGTGCATGTAGACAGATCGACGAGGACACCTGCCCCTCCAGTCCGCGTGCTTAGCAGCACCGCTAGTGGGATGCCGTGGGTTTCGACGCTGGTAGCCGGATAATACTACTGCAATTACCGGGAAAAACGCGAGCTCGCTATCTCCTCGCGGAAGTACGCATTGACGCCAAAGCAGACGTGCTGCACAAGATTGCACCCTTGTGCCAATGGAAATCACGGCCGTATGCACACGCTCATAACGCGGCAATGCGAAAGGTCCTTGCGCGCCTGCTAGGTGACGTGGGGCTTGGCCCAAGGTGATCCAAGGCGTACATGGATGAGACGCGGGGGACGTTGCTGCGTGAGCCATGCGGTGTCTGGATTTACATCCACTCGCCACCCAGGTCAAATTCCACTTGCTGTTTGGCGCCAGCAGATATCAGCAGACAACATGTTCTGTATGTGATTTTGGATTGCGAGCCGGGATGGGCCGGGGTCGGTCAGATGACCCTTCGCGCTGACCAGTGCGGTACCAAAATTATGCACAACGAACCACGTCACTGATATTGCTGGACACTGGGTCAGCAAGCATCCAGCGACGACGTGTTCGCCGAGCACCGCCTCGACAGCCCAATCGCGGCGATGTTCCTCCGAGCCCCTGCACTCCCGCAGGCCGCACACACGCTCCACAGGGACCGGACCAAACACTTCTCCTGCTGAGGCGAAGAAGCACGTGAAGAAAACAAACGAGCCTCCCGCGGTCTAGTCATCAGCTCGTTGAGGCGCACTTGCGAAGAGTTCTGGGCCGCTAGGCCGCTCTAGCTGCAATTCCACTTTGCGGGACGCCCAACTTGCCTGTTTGCTTCTGTTTGCTTTGTGATCCCCGTTCACTGTCCCAAAATTACACGGGGAGGCTTAGGACTCAAATTAAATGGGGAGGCTTAGGACTCTGTATTCTCAACAAACTGGATCTGTCGCTGATAGCCCTGCGTTTTCTGTTCGACGCGGAGTGATACAAGATTACGTCATCATGCTGGGCTAGAATCAGCAGATGGACGACGCAATTGCCCGACTATGGCATCAACATCGGCAGTTTCGCGATTTTTGACCCATGTCCGTTTCGCCGACCAATTTAATGTTGAATGCAAAGTCGTGGCGTGAGCTTGTTGTCATGCATTGTCATGCTCTGTCATGCTGGAGTCATTGGAGGGAAAACTCGCATTTTCACAAAGCTTTCTTCGCCAAAGGATGCGTGCACTGACGTTGGCGGGGACATGATCCGAGTTTTGAGTGACGGAGACACACATATGTACCTTGGACGGAAAATTTGTGACGACCTCCGACGCCAATCAAAAACAGAGCTGGCGCAGGGGGGCAACCCGTCAGCATCCCGTCAGCAAACAACAACGCACTCAGCGCCGAGAGCACACGGGCATCGAGCGCGAATGCAAACTCACGCGCAAAGCAGCGACCGACAGCTGCCCGCCAGCCCGCCCATACAGCTTGCGCGGCTTGGGAAAGCAGGTGGGTTGGGGGCAGCCGCCCCCCCCTCCCCATTTGCAAACACAGTGCTCGCGTGATGGGTTTCAATCTGTTCTGAATTTATAGCAAGCTTGCGTGGCTTATAAAAACACGCGGGCGGGGGGGGCCTTTGCAAACAAGGCAGTCAGGAATCTGACAGCCTCGGCGCCGAACCTAGTTTCTGCCTTGCAGCATGCTAGCTGCGTAGCTATAAAGATGTGAGGTTTGGGGAGAAGCGGGTGGCTCGGGGGTGCGCAGCCACCCCCCCATTTGTAAGCACAATGCCCCCGTGATGGGAGCCTTGTCCAAAAGGTAACACGGGCAAAACAGAGGTTATTTCACTGCCTACATGACGTGTTAAACCTGTGATAGAAGTTCTGAGAGAGGGGAATGTCATGAGTGAAGAGTTCATGGGCAAGACTGACAGGTGGGATGGATTCCAGAGTTTTGGCTTCCCGGTTAATACTGAAATTGGGGGTTACGGCATGAACTGAATGGTACGGTTTCTAGGGGCGGTTCCAAGGTCTAGAGATTCATGGTGGTTTTACTATTAATCCGTGAACGAGAGAGCCAGGTGGACAGGATACTACTTTCTAAGGGTTAACCTGTGATGGAAAAGCCTGTGGAAAAGAGGTGTGTTGTCCTAAAGGTGAATCATAAGGGCTTTTGGGTGATGTGAGAATAAGGTTAACCGTACGAAAAGACCCTTGGAAAGAGGATAATGTGGAACAAGAGTGAGAGAGATGGGGGCTTTTACTTCGTTGTCCTAAAGGTGAATCATAAGGTGTGAACGGAACCTCCAAGATGAAGAGAGTTAGTTCATGAGTGAGGCTGCGAACGGGGGACACGGGTGAAAAGGGTGTTTCTTGTCCAAAAGCCCGTCATGATGCCTCAATCTTCTAGTTCCAGTAGTAACAGAGTCTCATGACATGTGAACTAGACTGGCGAACTCAGGGTTAATGGAGGGGTTTTAGTACTGTCTGAGAGAGGTTTATTCACCCCCCAAAACCCCTATCATAGTTATATTGCAAGTGAATTCCGATCGTTCACGTGCTGTTCTTTGCCTGCTCCTCCAAGAGGCCGCCTACGGGCATGCAGGACTTACTTACTTACTTACTCACGTGCTTTGAACAAACTTGACCAGCGGGTTGGGTAGCGCGTTGCAATACAATGTCCCCTGGATATGCTTTGAAGCTGCTGGCGCGGCTTCAAAAAGGGGGGGGGGGTGGGGCGCAAGCCCCCCCCAATTTGTAAGTACAATGCTCGCATGATGGGTTTCAATCGTTCATGAAACAAGCTTGACGACAAAGCTAACTTCGGCCAACTTCCGATAAAAAAAAACTTCCGATAAGTTTCTGCCATTTTGTCTAAGTTCCTGTAAGTTCTGATAACCTTTTGCGTAGATACAATGAACGCCTATCAAAGAATATATATATATATATCCAAACATTTTTATATAGTCACTTTTATTTAGCTATTTCGCTAACTTATTTATATCGTTACCTAACCGCTACTAATACTTGCCGTACGAAAAAATATGAGTACACTATATTCCTAGAACTTCCGCTAATGCTTGATAAGGTGCTGTAGGACAATGGGGCACCTCAGTGGGGTGTTCAGAGTTTACCTGCGCCTTTTTGGAGTTTGCGGTCCTGGGCCCCCAAAGATTTCAGGAACTAAAAGCTTCCGGTTCTCGGTCAGAATTTTAATTTTCGGTTTGTGCGATTTCGTTTCATTTGACCTGGTTCGTCGGTTCACGGTTCGGCCCCTCGTGCCGATTCCGTGCACAGGGATCGTGAACACTGACGCGAGGAAAAGGTGCGTGGAAAAAAACAAATTAACTGCCCGGGACGCTCTTGTAACCGCGCTTTTTTTTCGTTCGGAGCATGCGGCTCTCCAGGAAAGCACAAAACAAACGTGCATTCACCAGGTCGAGCGCCAGACGCCAGAACCATTTGTCGCAATGACGTGTATGGCTTTGTATTTGGGCTTGTTTTTGCTTACATCACCCCATTTCAGCCCAAAACCGTCGCCACATTTAGCCGGCTAAGCTGGGGACATGTGGGCGTCAAGTGGCGTAGAACAGGGGGTTTCTATTCCGTTGTACTGTTGACCTTGTGTTGACAGGCGGGAACCCAAAGCTGAAGAAGCCTGAACATGCCTTTGCCTGGCTCAGCTGTGAAGCTGTGTGCAAATCTGCACCAATTGTTAATCAGGCAGCCTGAAATTCACCACTCATAACTACACTTACAGCCTTCTCGCAGCAGGCAGCGGGTCACGTTGCATCGTTTCAGGTCGCCACATTGCAGCAGAGCCATGCCACTGCGAACGGCGCTCACCGAGATGTTGGGGATCGAGCACCCGATCATTCAAGGAGGTGCTCAGCTGCTTTTTTTGACGCATGCAAGGGTGGATGCGATGGGCGAGCAAGGTCATATCGCCAGTGGTCCAGCTGACTTGGGATGCCAAAACGATGCCAAATAGGGCTTACGGTTCAGGGTTTAGGGCTTAGGGTAGAACTAGTCCCAGTTCCGCAGGCATGCAGTATGTCGGCTATGCAGAGATGGCGTCTGCCGTGTCCAACGCCGAGACCTTACAGCCACGGACCCTCTATTGGAGCCTCCAAGACATCTATTCAAAGCCCTAAAGCCGAAACCCCTAAATTGCAGACTCCGTTGTGTCCCTGGGCCGTGTAGCTTCGAGCAAAGGCTTGCAATGCAAGCCCACAAACGTTACGCTAGGGGCCCGGGGAAAGGTCTCAAACCCTATATTATAAACCCAGCCAGCTCGGCGGGCGGCCAAAACAAAAACCCTAAACCCTATGTAAACATCAAACCCGAGCCCCAGTTCAACTTTGAACTCGGAGAATCCAAGAATCAAGACCTCTATAAACCCTAAACCCCAAAACCCTCAAACCTCAAACCCTAAACCCTATAAACTCTAAACCCTAAACCCTAAACCCTAAACCCTAAACCCTAAACCCTAAACCCTACCCCTCCTCAGGCTGGAGGCCTCGGGATCTTGACCGGCCTCACGCAGCCCAGCCCCGAAGCCTTGCGGGCGGACGCTGGGTGGGTTTAGGGTTTAGGGGTTTAGGGTTTAGGGTTGAAGGTTTAGGGTTGAGGGTTTAGGGCTAAGGGTGTAGGGTTTAGGGTTTAGGGTGTGGTTTGGGGTTTAGGGTTTAGAGGGTTTAGGGTTTAAGGTTTTTGGTTTAGGGTTCAGGGTCGCTCTGGACGCAGTGCTAAGCACGCGTGTGCCCCTTCCCAGCCAGTCACAGTCTGTTTTGGAACTCACTTACTTTCTGGCATGTAAACGATGCAATTGTCATCGTGCCAGCTGACTTACAGAGTCTGGGTTCAAAAAAGGGTCCAGGGTTTAGAGTTTGGGGTTTAGGTAGGGCTTAGAAGCCTGCTTTTAAAGTAAGGTTCAGGGGGTTAGAGTTCACCGGTGGGCTGCCGGAAAACTACACATACAGGGAGCTGGCCGAATCACAAGCTTTGTAAGTAACGATCTCGATGGCGACGACAGTTTTTTGGCTTGCAGCGCTTGCCTTTGAGTTTGGGGAGTATGGGTGTGTGTCAGGGTTTGGGGTATTAGGTTCAAGGCACAGAGGGGGGGGGCCCAACGCACGCCCAGGAGATCCGGCGATGTCGCACGATGACGGACTGTGACGCAGTGCCTACTGAATGGGCGTACAGGGGTTGCATCTTCAGAACCCAAATCTCACAATTTTTGCAGTTATAGGCTGCCTAAGTTTCCTAGGAATTCTAGAATATAAGGGGGCTTGTACAACATACAAACAAACAAACCCTACAATGAGGACAGTTTTGGGTTCTGAAGGAGGGCTTCAGGGCTCCGGCATATGCCTGTGTGGGAGTCGGGTCCGGAGGACTTGAGAGGGGTAAAGGTTCATGGGTTTAGAGTTGACAACGAACCTGGGCATCAGGGTTTAGGGTTTAGGGTCCGGAAGCAAGCAAGGGTTCAGGGTTTAGGGTGGGATCTTTGTGAGGACATTCTGCAAGCCTGCTTCCAAAAGGGTGGGATCTTCAAGCGACTGCCCTGATGCAACAACTACGGGATATTCGGACAGATCCTTAGAAGGGGCCCTTCGTCTTGATCCCCTTCATATCCATATGCGTATGTATATATATATACATATGTATATATATATATATAGACACACCTTATTTAGTCTCGATATACCGAAGTAGCCACTACATTACTCCCTAAGTCCTAAAGGTACCCTATAAAGGGTGCCTTGAAAGAAACAGGGTGGTGCCAGGTGAAATAGCCTTCGCTTCTGTTGATTCAGGACAAGCCCTTCGGAGTCAACCTCACCATTCTTCCGGCTCTCATTCCCGCCGAGCTGCAGACGCAAATGGAGGGCTATACTGTAGGGAGCAGGCTAGGGCCGCTAGGGGGCTGTGCGATTTAGGGCTTCGGGTTTAAGGTTTCGGGTTTCGGGTTTCGGGCTTATGCGCGGTGGACTCAGCTTAGGACTACGATGCCTTCGCGCGCGTGGTGGCGGAAGAGAAGGCAAGCAAGCATCACCCTACAACCCTAAACCCCTATAAACCTTATAAAGCCTCAAACATCCTCCCTTGCGTAGCGGGACATGAAAGTTCTTGGCGTTTAGAATCAGAGTTTGTGAGCCTGCACCCCAAACCCGGAGACTCCAACGTCTCTTGATTAGGCCGGGTTTCTTAACCCGCACTAGGAGCCCGGTTGAGAGACTAAAAAGAGTAGGTGTTGGGTTCTTAGGGTCGAGCTTAGTGGGTTCAGGCATCTAGTGACTGAGGGAGATCTCAGCCAAAACTTTTCTTCTTCTGCTGTCCTTTAGAATCACGCTTCTTCGACTTGCCTTGCGGATGGCTTTCAGTCAGCCAGGCAGGAGGCAAAAGGGTTTAGGGTTTAGGGTTAAACTAAACCCTAAATCCCCCCCCCCCCCGCCCCACCACACACGGCAGGTGACGATGGTTGAACTGGCTGCAGGGTCGCCGAAAAAGTACACGCCGATGTGGAAGGCTGCGTGGGCCCCAGCAAGAGGGAATTGGGGGTTCTTTCTGGCAGCTTTGCTTAAAGCCTTCCTTCAACCCTAAACCCTAAATCCTGGGACGGTAGTTTCACGAGCAAGTATGCCTGCAGACAGTAAACTGATGCTAGTATCACCCGACTGGCCTTAGCCACATGTGCTACAGAGCCACCATCAGGACTCTTGATAAACCCTAAACCCTAAACCCTAAACCCCAAACCCTAAACCCTAAACCCTCTAGCGTCAACCCCAAACTCCAAATTGGGTGTGGTTTGACGCCCTTGTCCGTGCCGAGGCGGGCGTCAAAGTTCTCCACAAGTCGGCCACTATCCGTCATGCGCTCAAGGCAGTTGAGGGGCATTGTGGTTTTTAAGGGTGTGGGGTGTAGGGTTTAGGGTTTAGGGCTTAAGGTTTTCGGGTTTAGGGTGTAGGTTTGCTCAGCCCAGATGCAACAAAGAGGGTTTGCACATGCAACTTGGCAGTCGTGGCTGTGCTTTTCGACGCACGTGGAGTCTTGGGGGGCGTTTGCGTGCGCTTGCGACCAGCCGGTACTTGCCGTACCTCATAATGGGAACCTCCCCCAGAACCCTAAGCTACAGCCCCCTGAGGAATGATGTTTCATGTTATTTCTCGGAAAGCACAAAGGGGACATCCAAACTACGACTGTATGAAGGTTCTAAGGGGAGCCTAACCCTAAACCCTAAACCCTAAACCCTAAACCCTAAACCCTAAACCCCTTCAACCGCAGCGCCAGGCCCAAGAAGCCGGGGTGGACTTGATTGAGATTGTGGGTTACGAAGGCCGACTTCGAGTAGCGAGCAGCATGAGCAGTCCCTAGGGCCTCAAGCATATAAAGAGTACTTACCTTGGGGCCGAAAGTCTGTAAATAACGCCTACTTTGGGCTATTTGGAGCCTTAGGGGGTGTTTTTTCAGTGCACGTTCGGCCCGTTCGACATTTCGCGGTTCTAGCATGGCGGCTGTGTCTTGTAGAAGCGGCTACAGGGACAGTCAGCAAAAATACACTGACGTTTCACTTCAGGGAAGACAGCAGGAAACTCCGCACGCCTTGGAGTCTTGGTCGAGGAAACGTTTTGTGTGATCGGCAGGCGTGTCGCACTTGTTGCCTGTCGCGACCAGTGCTATGAACCGGTCTGATACCTTGACATGCCATACAGCCTTAATTTCGGCGCCTAAGTGGCCATGTTTATTCATGCGTCATTGAACTTGCTTAAAATGAAACACAGTGGCGGGGTCAATAATTGGTGGGTGGGCGAGCATCACACGACGATTTTGCACGCTTGTTAGACTTTAGTCCACATGGAGGGCTCCTCGGGTGGCGCACAGATATCCCTACATGGATTGGGATGTTGCCCTTATACTGTACTAACATTCCTTCATGGGGATAATAGTGCCCCCTGGTAGACTCCCTAGTCAGTATTTCTTTGTTCGGGGGAACATCCCGACTGATGTCATCGTCTGGTTAAGAGAAAGATGGAGCTGCGCTTGCCCTTGCCATGTGGGCGACAGAAGCTGAACTTCTTAAGGGGACATGTTGCGGCATGTTCCAGGCTCAATTGCTGGCGGTCAGCCGGGTGATGAGGTCCGCCGAACTGATTCGTCACTCAGGGTCATTTACCCCAAAAAGGTACTACATAGGAGCCTCCGGGTAAGCTAGCAACAGTGAGCTGTGGTGGCATTGACATGTGTTCAGGTCGGCGCATGGGTGTTGCTAGCCAAGGCCCAGCCACGATGCCATGTTCAACGCACGCAAGTGCGCACCATAGCGTCTCTTATCCCTGCGCAAGGCCACCTCGATGTTGAAAGTTCCCGTCATTGCAGCGGGTGCATCAGGCCTGCCATTGTTTTTTGTGGGTGTTCGTTCTTTGCGAGCAAGCTCGCAGTGAACCCCGGCAGGCACTGGAAGACAGCTTGCAGCTGCCTTGGCCATGGGGGTCCTCGCCCTAGCCGCCATCAGCACCATTCGGTGCTCAAAATCAGCCCTAAACCCTAAACCCTGAACCCTAAACCCCAAACCCTGCATTTAAACCCTAAACCCGGCTTGGCGCCAGGCGCAGGGCATCACGATGGCCACCCGATTCCTTTGCACCGTGGAGGCCGCCTGCTGCTTTTAGGGTTTAGGGTTTAGGGTTGAGGGTTTAGGGTTTAGGGGTTAGGGGTTCAACCGTTGCTGCTAGTGGACGCGGAGTGGTCACAATCATGGCTGATGCAGTTAGACTTGGTAGCCCAGTGGTGCCCATTGCCTCTTTATTTGCTTCAAGGTTCCCTTGTAAAGTTAACGAACCCAAACGAGGATACCCTTAATACACTTTCATTGTTTCAAGGTTCCGTTATAAAGGTAGCCAACCCAAACAAGGGTACCCTTGTGATAATATGGTTACTGGGATACCAAGTAGAGTTCTTCGAGAGAAGCTTCGGATGCTTCAGGCTCCAATCGACCAGAAGGTGAAGGCCGTCCCTGTGGATGAAGTGAACATAGGGTTGTAGGGTTAGGGGTGCAGGGTTTACCGGTTTAGGGTTTAGGAGTTTAGGGTTTGGGGTTTAGGGTTTAGGGTTTAGGAGTTTAGGGTTTGGGGTTTAGGGTTTAGGGATGAATGCTTCATCAAGACGTATGCGGACAGGAGACCCTGATGCGCCCAGACATGGACGAGAGGCCTGTCCCGGCAAGCGTCTTCGTGCTGATATTGTCCCAGTCCTCGCATGCTGCCGGAATCCCCCTAAACCCGAAACCCTAAACCCTAAACCGTAAACCATGCCTCATTGCAGCTGCAGGAGCACCACCATTGTCTTAGGGACGCTCAGCAACGCCACGCGGGTCTTCAAGAATGGCGTGTCGCTGAAGATTCGTGAAATCGAAAGCCAAGGCCCGGCGCCCGGCGTTGACCTCTGTTGCGTGCAGCTGTTCGCTCAACACGACACGATTGACTAGAGGGGCCAGCTGGATCTACAGTTGATATTTCGGGTAGCTTGTGTACTATGACCAGCTCA